TTTATACACACATGTACACACATTCACAAAGAGATTAGCATGCAGGTTCACTAAAATAGTGTATAAAATTACTTTCTGGCTGCATATATGAGCTATATACAAACCACATGAATTTTATGTTTATATTTGCTTTCCATTCCTAAGAAGTTCCATTTTCTATACTCTTATAGAGACAGAGCACCTGAGACAGCCAGACAAAGCAGCTTGCTAACGAAGGAAGAAGCAAACCCTAGAACATTTTAATATTGCTAGTATTAACCGAATTACAGTGTTTCTCTTCCTATCCTGTTATGGTATGGACTCTAAATTGCTTATGTATCTTTTCCCCAAACATCTAGGACAGAGTTTGGTACATTTTAAACACTTAGCCAGATTATTTTTATTAGGTGATTGCATGAATGACGACAGTCAGGGACACATCATATATTCCATTATCTCCTTCTCTGGAAAGAACAGGAATGATAAGCATTAGTCATAGAGAATGCCCCATCATTTTGAGTCTTTCCAGCATTACATTATACTCTCAAATATACTTTAGGTCCAACAGAGGGTGCATTAGAGAAAATATCTCCTACTTGGCCCAATTCACTAGAAAAGTATATAATTGGTTAAAGAGGTACCTAAACTTTAACAAAACTCTTGACTTTTCTCTCTCATAGGAGATTGCCTACCAGGTGCATAAGCTCCTCCTTATTGCTAGCTGGACTCATTTCAAATCTTATTTTGACAAAGTTTTCCTTAACTGGTAGTAAGACCTGCCTGCTTTTTAAGTTATTATCAATGTAAGGCCTTTAAAAAAATCTTATACAGCAAGTCACGTGGATCACTTAATTCTCATTCACTCATGAACCAGACATGCTACTTTTGTCTAAAGTGTCTGACAAAGAGTGAAACCATTTGCCTCAATCCCTTCCATAGGTTCTCAGCCAACTGAGAAGCCTATGAGGTTGTCCGAGGATGGGGTATTGCATGGAAGGTTTAGAAACTGTAGAAGCTCTGGCTGTCAGTGCAGCTATAAAAAGTGAGTGACCATCTTGGAAAATTGTTTGGCATTTCCTAATATTTCTTTATGCAAGAATACTAAAAATTGTATTTCCACACAAAACGTCTTTATTCGTAGGCCCAAGCTAGAAACTTTGTGGTATATAACAAGATATTTATAGCATCTGGATATTGAATTAAAAGAATTGAATTATTGATGTGTACAATAGATATATTGCAAAAACAGTGGTTGAACAATTCTTTTTTAAATGTGAATAGTAAGATAGATATAGACCTGTAATCCCAGAGTTTAGGAGGTGGTGGAAGAAGGAGGATTAGGTGTCAACCTTGTTGTCAAGGTCAACCTTGACAACATAGTGAGTTCTAGGCCATCTTGGGATTCATGGGGCTCTGTGTCAAAAGGAAAAAAAAAAAAAAAAAACATGTTCTTATTCTTAATTGGGGTAGTCATTAACCAAGGGTGAAAATCCATCAGATCCTGTACTTAAGATACAGAAAGAACCTCTATTAAGTGTAATCCCATTGACATAGACATATAAACACATTCACATTTCAAATCTAAGACTCCATGGGTTTTGAGATTAAGCAACTTGGGGCATGATACTGAAGAACTGTAAACTTCAGAAGCAAATGTGATCTAAATTTATTTCAGATTCACTTATTATGATACAGGGAAATGAGAACGAGATCAGAGGCAAAGAACTGATACGTGTAGAGGGCTTCAAGTTTACCATGGCTTTTGTGTTTAATTTCATATTTAGTGTTCTATTCTAAGGTGTTGGTATAGCAGCATGAGCTAAGGACTGGGTGTTAGGAAGAATACAGGGCTGAAACCCAAGAACTTTGGATTTTAAACTCAACAACCAAAGTTTATAAACATGACCAGATATTTTATCATTCTAAGTCTCGTTTGTGCCTGTGCAAAAATCAACATACTTATAGTTTCTTGCACCATTTGAATTTTAAGAACTCTGTGACTTATATTTTAAAGAATTCTAAATAATTTTGAGCTTTTCCTTAGCCATAGTCACTGCAACTGTCACTTGGAATGGTAGGAATAAGTCAGTCAGGATGATATTTTCACAGTACCCTTCCAGCCTTCCATTTCCTGTTGACAATGGACAAAGGAACAGGTTTCTTCAGGCTTAGAGAAAGCTTTAGACCTAGATACTGGTTCAAGGATTGAAAGGATATGATATCCTCCCAGACACTGTAGAAGTCACTTTGTTCCTCCCAAGTGGCCCCAAGTATAGGTTCAATAATGTCAGAGTAGTCCTCAAGGAATTAAGATTCATTTCACATTGAAAGATGACTATATTTTACAAGTATTAAAACACTTAAGTGTCCTCAATTAAAAAGTATAAATTACTTCCTGTCAAGCTGGCTTGACAATCCAACTCTCCTTCCTCAGTCAGTGGTCATAGAGGCCTTGAAAATGCACCCATTTGACACAGAAAGAGAGAAAAAAACTAACATATCTAGAGTGCCTGTGTGCCTATGAACTCTATATCACAGAAAGAGAATAGACCCCAACTTCTCATTATGCCCTCTTCTCACTCCCAGTCTAAAAGTAGCTCTGAGTGGACTGACTGAACATGCCGCGCTGAGCTTATTCCCTTAGAAAGAACTACTGCAAAGCGATGACTGTTTAATGTGACTCCTTCTAAGCAGAGCGATACCCTCTGAGCTCAACCAAGAAGAGCTGATGTGAGCAAGGCAATAAGACTCAGTCCTACAAGGCCAGTTCCTATTGCTATTTCCTGATCGGAGCTAACACATAATGTTAAAACAGTATACCAAGGTGGTCAGAGAGAACCCAGTCTGGGATGATGTAAATAGATTCTGAGACATCCTGTGAGAAACTGAAAATCTCTTTGTGTGCTTAGACCCTTTCCATCTAACCCATATCAGACATCCTGACACAGCATCTTTGTATAGAGAAAGAAACTGAGGCTCAGGAAGTTTAAGAGAACAAGAAATAAAGTCCAGACCTCTGACTCCCAAGCCTGTTTCAACACAGCATGCAGCTTCCAAAAATAGCTGCCCTGATTCAAAAGGCTCAGTTTTTATATGCGCAAAAGCTAGCCAAAATGTGTCCAATTGCTGGGAATAAGGGAAAGAAATTATAGTAGTCAGCCCTGAATTACAAATCTAATTCATTATTAGTTCTTTAATTTTAGTCCAGTTTGGAAATATATTTAATTGTATTCAGAATGGAAATAGGCGAGTTTTCATTAATGTTTCTTCTGACCCTGGTAAAATATTTGCTAAAATTTCACTTTCCTGATAACATCTGGAATGTAATACGAAGGTCTAGTCTGATTCTCCAATGAATGTGGGAGATGTATTGCCTTCCAGAACCTGCTTAATGTACTGAGCTGGCTCTCTCTGGCTCTGGCTCTGGCTCTGGCTCATGGACCATATCTATTTCTGGCAAATTCTTCATTCAGTGAGGCTGCAGTAGTGGCTTGAAGCTAGCCATTTTTGAAAGCATCACAACATAGAAATCAGTAAACAACATAAACCAGCTCCTTCCTTTCTTTCTTTTTTTTCTCTCTCTCACAGCCTGCAGCTAAGCATTTACCTTGCTATCTCCATCTATTGTTCTTAATCATTTGTGTCTTGTAATGTTAATGTATTTCCAGATCAGGCTAGTCTTCCTAGGAATGTGACTCTATAATTTGACGTCAGTGCAACTGAAAACTAGACAGGTTATGATGTATAAAATATACCAGACTCCTGACTCTCTTATGAGCAAGTGTACTGTATTTTTCAGAATTTTCCAGAAACTTGGAAGAGATCTTTAAACTTACCCTAGTGTCTTCAGGAAGTCCGGAATAATTATTCACTAGACAATGTTTAAAAAAAAAAATCAAGAGGAAAGAGGGAGGACGGGAAGACACATTCATCAAGAGAGTCCTTTAGAAGTTCCTCCAAAAATTTCCTTAATAACATTATGTAAAGTTTCAACATTGATTTTTTTTTCTTGTTATTGTTATATAAACACTAAGTAGGTCATAGGCTAATATATTTAGAGAGTCAGGAGCTTTCTTAGCTGTGCTCATGAGCAATGTGTGGAAGAGGGTGATCAGGCTAAAGCTTTGGTACCCTGCCCCCTCCCCCAGGAAGACCTATTTAGACTTTTATGTTCCTTCTGCAAAAGCAATGCTAGGACAGTCATTTCAGCCAGGGTGTGAAACAGTGAACAATCATCTTGGAAAACTTTGTGGCAGCTTCTAATATTTCCTTATGCAAGAACAGTAAAATTTGCATCTCCACACAAAACACCTTTATTCACAGGCCCAAGCTAGAAATTTTATAGTACATAACAGGATATTTGTGGTATCTGTTTATAAAAGAATTGAATTATTGATACATACAATAGATATATTGTTAAAAACAGTAGTTGAACAAAAGTTTTTAAGAATGTGAACAGTAAAACAGATGTGGCAGCACAGGCTTGTAATCCCAGCATTTGGGAGGTTGTGGAGAAAGGAGGATTAGGTATTCAAGGATGGCATTGACAGCATAGTGAGTTCAAAGCCACCTTGGAATCCATGAGACTGTCTCAAAAGAAGAAAAGATGTTCTTATTCTTGATTGTGATAGTGATTATCCAAGAGTCAAAATCCATCAGATCCTACACTTAAGATACAAAAAGAACCTCTATTAAGTATAATCCCATTGAGGCAGATGCATAGACACCTTGAGATTTCCAACCTTGGGAGTACTTCTGCTCTTAGATGAATGGGCTCAGGGCAGACCAATGGACCTCGGTCTTTCCTCAGCCCTACGTACGTGACCTTACCCTCCCAAGGATTTAGGCTTCTTCACTATGATGCTGCAAGTTGGAGCATTGAGCAATGACCCTGCGTGTCATTTCCCTCTGGCTAGTCAATTTCCCATCACTGACACAAAGGCACTCTACAGGCATCCCCTCCTGGTAGCCTGCGAAAGTTTGGGAGGCAGGTCCAACTTTACAACTGGGCGGGGAAATTAATTCCTTTCTTTGGGACACCTTCTGTTGTGCAGGGGCGGGGTGGGTCACTGTCCTGCCTTGTGAATCAGCTGCACATGCTTGCCCCGCCCCCGTCGAGGGTCCGCAGGACACTCGCCCAGCATAAAGCCGGCTTCCACAGCGAACTGGAGGCTCACCCTCCTCCCTCCAGGTATCCTTGGAGCAGCCACTTGAATCCGCACCATGGACCCTACTCCGCTCTTGGGGCTTTTGCTTCTGCTGCTGCTGCTGCTGCTGGTGGGCGCTGCGCCCGGCCTCGCTTCTGTGCCATACCCAGGTATCTGTCCAGGATCCTCGCCAGCTGCCTGCTTCTTGCCAGGCTGTCCCCAGCTTCCCCTCGTCCCCCACCGCCCACAGGGATTGGCGCCCTAGTTGGTGCAGAAATCTTTGCTTGGGAGCGGTGGGGACAGCTGCGTCTGTCCCTCCCAGGCATCAAGTCTGACCTCCTTCCTGCTTCCTCCCTTCTGGCCCTCCTGCAGGAAACAACGCAAATATTTGCCTCTTGCCCAAGAAAGAAGGACCCTGTCGGGCCCTCATGCCCAGGTTCTTCTATGACAGGTACCTGCAGAAGTGTCACAAGTTCAATTATGGGGGCTGCTACGGCAATGCCAACAATTTCCACAGTTTGAAGGCCTGTGAAGAAACTTGCGGGATGATAGAGGGTAAGTGTGCCTTTCAGGAGTCTGCCAGCACAAAAAGGCTTTTCAGAACATAGCTGATTTTTCAGAACTGGTTGTCTGCAGTAATTTTTAGCCTAAAGTTTCTCAAGTGTTAAAGTGGCTTTTTTTCCCCCAAAAGTAATTCCAAGCCTACACAACCACTTATATGATTTGTCTCAGACTTTCTTGTAATTCAGTGCCCCTGTGGACTCTGGGTAAGATGTATTTTTGTCATGAGGCATGATCAATACAAGGGAAGATCATAGGAGGTCAGCCTACATACTTTTCTGTATCTGTCTTTAGTTCAGGGCCCTGTTCTTGTCAGGTACCCATCAATATAGAATATGGTTTGGTGAATCTATTAATGTGTTTTAGATCATCATGTAATTTTATTTTTGTTACCTGATATTTGGATTAGTGTCAATATGTGGCTTAGATCCACAATAGTATGTTTGCTTTGGTTTACCATTTTGAAATTATATCTATTGAGGATACTATAAGACTTTGGCCAGGGAGAAATATGCATTCATGTGAGTAAGTTTTCATTAACTTCCAGTGCAGAGACCTCACAGAACAGTCTTGCCACTGAACTTGCCAGGTAACAGCTGAGTCAGTGCATTCATGTCACAAGAATTCCATTGCATTCTGCCCCCCACCCCCCATCCCACTTACTTTTTTGCCTTTCTTTTTCCATGAACTACACACATACACATTCTAATCTAGATTCTTCATGTGAGAAATATGCAGAAAACATGTGATATTTGTCTTTCTGGGGGTGGCTTATTTTTTATAGTTTTTAAGTTTTTTTGAGAATTTCAGCATGATTATTATATTTGCATCATTTTCACCCCTCCCAGTCCTCCCTCCAAACCCTCCCAGTGTCCTCTCAATTTCTTGTCCTCTTTGATTCTTATTCTAGGCAAGACAGAGAAGCTGAGTGGTTGAACATAATAGTCTCCACTTTCACCCATTTTTTTGTGTGTGAGCATCCTGATTTCATCTTTGTTTTCAGCTGAAAAAAATTCCATTGTGTATACAGCCCATTTTTACTTAGAGATTCATCTGTTGATGACATCTAGGCTGTCTCCATTCTTTAGCTACTGTGAATAGTGTAGCGGTAAGCATGTGTGCAGATATTTCTGTGCTCTGTAGACTCAGAGACCTTTGGGTATACACCCGGGAATGGCATAGCTGAGTCATGTGGTACTTCTACTTTTTTTTTTTTTTTTTTTTTTTTTTTTGAGAAACCTCCACTCTGACTTCCGTAGTGACTGTAACATATTACATTCCTACCAGCAGTGAGTAAGAGTGTGTTCCTCTTTCCCCACCTCCTAGCAACAATACTTGTTTGTTTCCTTGATAATAGCCAAGGAAGGCTACTTCGGAATAACATTTGATTGCCCTCTCTTTTTCTCCAGAAGTTCGTCCTGTTTGCCGGTTGGAAGTCAATGAGTACCCATGCAACAAGCCTAATGAACAGTATTTCTTCGACCTAAGTACCATGACATGCAGAAAACTCATGCCTGGTTTGTGTAACAAGAATGCCAATGTATTCCCTGATGAAGCTACTTGTAAGGGCTACTGCCTACCAAAGACAGGTAAATACTGTTGTATATGATGTGCCTATCTCAGTTTTCTATTAAGATTCTTTTGTATGAAAATCAATAATTTGATCTGAAAATGAACATGGTTTACATTATGGTGATTGCACATATTATGTGATATTATGTGTGCATGTGTGTGTTTCTAGGGATCAAATCCAGACCTTGTCAGTTGAAACATTATTGCTCTGTAAAGGAGCATTAGCTCCCCATTTTTCCATATGTGGGTACAAACTGAAGATTGATGATTTACCAATTCTTGAGGCTGTGAAGTAACAAAACTATTTTCAAGTTTTTGCTGGGTTTTGTGTGTTGTTTCTCTGAGCATCCCTAATCAGAAATTCTTAAATGTGACAAACTGGAAAATTATGAAGTCTCCGAGCCTTGACATTGCTTCACAAATGGAAATTTCATAGCTGACCTCAAAATGTAGGCACACTGAAAATACTGAATACAATTGCCATCAGCCTCTTCATATAAGATGTATATGAAACATAAATGAGTTTCTTATTCAGATTTGCATCCCAGCATCTCATCTTCAAGATATTTCTGAAATCTCAAACACTTCAGTCCCAAGTATTTTGGATAAGAGATATTCAACCTCTATTCCTCATCTTCTCAATTTGTACCTAAAAATTAGAGGAAGGGGTCTAAAGGGATTAGGAGGGAAGAACAAGAGAGGGAAATGATATATGCATTCTCTCATTTGCGAATCTAGATTCTCTCTCTCTCTCTCTCTCTCTCTCTTTCTCTGTGTGTGTGTGTGTGTGTGCTCGTTCATGCACATGTCTCTCTCTGTACACATACACATGAACAGTATACATGATAACATAAGTGGAGACTCTTTGGGAGGAGTAACTGGACCAGTAGCAATGGGGAGGACAGATGGGGGATGATAGCAGGGCTTTGGGGGGGATAAATATAAGTGAAGCGCAATGATATTTAAAAATCCTATTGGTTTTTTTTACACCAACTAAGAAGTTTATGGAATATAGTATACATGAATGAATGCCAAGAACCCAGGTATTTAAACAGTTCTGTGTATGAGATGGTGGACTATGTAGATTTCAGACTTTGGTTAAGCTTTTATATTCTCTAGTAATTACAAATTACATCCCAGAGTGCTCGGTCCTGCCTCCTTTCTCCATGTCTTCAGGCATTTTCCCTAGAATAACATAAACACAGATTTTAAACTTAAACCAACATGAAAATCTTCTGTGTCAGAGCCTTTGATAACAATCCATAGATGTACCGTGTTGAAGAGACATTGTTCGAAGTTGTGAATTAGTGAGGAGATGGCTGCTGTAGATGTAAATGTGGTTGGTACCAGCATAGAAAGTGTGTCAAAGAATTCCATGTACTGCTCCTTGGAACTCAGCCCATTGTAGCATATCTAGTTGGGGGCTTATTTCTTCTCATGTGAAAAAGTAAAAGATACAGCTTCAGAAGGAATTATGTTGTATTAAAAAATTTTAGAATAAACAAAATGAAGCAAGAAAGCTTACCTGTAATTTGAGACATCTTATGGTTCCATGTTTTGGATTGAGAATGAGGTTTGTGAGGGATTAGAATTTCTTCAGCTACTTTAGTAAACATCTTCATTGCTTAGTTGGGTATTACAGCATTTCTAATTTTCTTTTCTTTTTGGAAAGGTCCATCATATTGCTATAGTCCAAAGGATGAAGGCCTGTGCTCTTCTAACATAACACGCTATTACTTTAATCCAAGAAACAAAGCCTGCGAGACTTTTACCTACACTGGTTGTGGTGGGAACAACAACAACTTTTATTACCAGGAGGATTGCTATCATGCTTGTGCAAAAGGTAGCAATTTTTTTTCCTATTTAGTCATCAAGCAAACATAATAATGATTAACTTATGGGAACATTATATTTTATATAATGTTCTAGTGGCAAATGATCATTTCTAGACTAATTCTATAACAATAGTACTTGCATGCTGATTGGTTTTGTCAGAAGGTATATGTGTACTGGCAAGGTGTAGCAAGCTGCAGTTATAGCCTCATAGTTTTTAAGGTAGACTGTTATGAGTTAGTTGAGCTTACGTTATAATCAGGAGAAAGGACATGAAGTGAGATCACAAGCATTTGGAAAAGTTGATTTAAAGTGAGCATTCAGATGGAAGCCATTTGATGTTAATTGTTCTTTTGTTGACTTTAGCCTTGAAGAGCTCAAAGAAAAGAAGACGCCGTCAAAGAGTCTTATAGCCAAAAGAAAGCTGAGACTTTGGAAGCCATATGCTTACACATTCTCTTTGAGTCATCACTGTTCACTGCCTTTATGGTTCTATCTAGAGAATAGCAGGGTAGCATGAGGAAACAAATCATTAGTGACTTGAACACCAGATCTGACGGATTATTCCACTTTTATAACCTGTATATTTTTATACATAGCAAACTTTTCAAATGTGAACTTACCATTTTAAATGAACTGTTCAAGTGTTTCTGAGGTTGAATTCTTTCAATGTGTAAATGTGCAAATATGCCTCACCCAAGTTCTTGGGGTTTCTCCTTCAATTTCAGAAGCTAGCGATTAAATAGCCTAAAACAATGTAATTGTTCACTGTTAACATATTTGAGCATGAACAAGAATGTGGCAAAATTATTTCATTATGCACTTCAAAGCTGAATATATTTTAGAACCCAGGAGACAAAGTTGTAGATTTATGACAACTTTTTTAAAATAGCCCCAGTGGTATCATGTAGTCCTTGCTAAGTCTTGTCAGATGTGATGAGGAAGGAGAGTAATTTCAAAGGTAGTAAAATAAACTTTTGAATGAATTTAAAATATTAATAAATTTATGAAAATCAGAAACCCTCTCCTAGAAAAAAAACATTATATATGTAATTCTATGTCTCTTTATTTTTCCATATCTGTCCATCTAACCAACCTCTTTACCTGTGTATGCTTGACTATGCATATATACCCATGGTTCTTAAAAGTTTTGTTGTTAAATTATTTCCTCAGTCAAAGTGTTTTGGAGAGCACTAATGTTGCTAGAGTTTCTGTACTGTTCAAGAGGTTTATTTTGCACCAAAAGGCATGTATGATTTGGTAACTTGAATTTCACAAATAAATTATTTTTTTTAATGGTTATTAGAGTAAGATAGCGCATTTCTTTCTCTGGTAGATTTTTTTTTAACTTCCTTGTTTCATTAATAAAATTAACATTTAAAAGTACCTTTTTAGAAAAGTTACAATTGCCTTTTGTCTGAGAAGACCCTCATTTAAAACCCATATAGTTGTTTTGACACACATGTGTGTGCTTGGGAATACTACTGATGTCAAACACTGGAAACAAGCCAGTTGTATAAGTGGGATTGGTGAAGACATGGCGGGGGAAAGAAGAGCATATTTATAATCAGACCTAAGAATGCAGTAAGAAAACAGGGACTAGGACAGCATGTATAAACAATAGGCATAACTGTGCACGCATGCAAATGTCACAGAAGGTATCAACATACTAAAAATTGTTACCAAGGGGGCTGGAGCAATGGCTCAGTGGTTAAGAGCACTAGCTGCTCTTGCAGAGGACCAGAGTTTGATTCCCAGCACCCACATGACAGCTAACAACCTTCAGCAACTCCAATTTCAGGAGATCTGACACTTCCTTCTGACTGTGGCAATTGCATCACATGGGTGCACTTACATACATGCAGGCAATATACTCATACAAAAAGTAAAATTTGAAGTTTGTTACCTAGAACAGGATGGAGGAAATTAAGATGTGGACAGCTATGAGGTAACATTTATGTGATTATCCCTTCTAGAATATTTATGAGCTGGGACCTTGTTAATATTTAATATAATTTTAAACAACTTGAAAAACAGTTTTGAACATTAAAAAATGTAATTTAATCCAACCAGCTATTGAGTAGTATAATAAGCACACAAGTATATATTTATGGTCCATGGCCTTCAAAACCAGTATTTACCACAAATCTTTTGCGGTCTGTAAGCTAACGGTCAAAAATTCTGAAGAAATCTG